ATCTCATAATTATGATATACCATTAGACAGTTTTTTTTTCTTTTGAGTGGCAGAATTGGGCTTCCATAGCAAAAGAAGAGTTCTCTAAAAAGTATTTTAGGAGTCTATCAATACTTAGTCAATCAAGATGCTTAATTTCCAATCAGTTACTCAGTGAAGCAGAAAGAAGCCTGAAAAGGTCATCAGTTGTTTAAATCACTCCTCTTCCTTTCTCAGTGTTAAAGGTTGCAACAGTTCTAATRAAATAAAAGCAATACTGAATCTAGGTGCATATTTATTGTAGTATTTAAAATTTTAAACAGCAAAAACCCCATAAAAAGTGTGAAAAGTGAAATCTCAACAGCCAATCCCAGTCATGACCAAAATTAGAAACAGAAAACATTAACATAAAGAACTTCAGGCCATTGTCCAACTTTAAATAGAGGGTGATTCAAAAGCCCAGGCTTTCCAACGAATAGGTACAACTTTATAACTGCTCCCATCTCCAGAGGATGTGGGGATTAAAACAACACTCCTGTGGCTTTGATACAAAATGGGAACTGGATCATTTGAGTCAATTACACTCATGACTGAACAGGAAAACTCATTAAATCCTTCATTCTTCTAAGTCAAGAACTAACAATGGGAGATGTAGCTCTGAGCTAACATATCTGTAAATTAAAGCAAGAAGCTAAACTGTCAGAGGACAGTGCAGGCCTGGTGCTTTAGGGACATTTACTGCAAGCCTGCTGTGACTTCATTCAAATAAATTTAAAAATAGATTTTTTTTGTTCCGTTTTAACCCTGAATCCACACATGATGTTTGTTCACTGGAAAGGATTTCCTCTCCAAACCGTTTTTCAGATGCTGGCCAYCCACACGGTGAAACAAAAACGTTTACTCAACACTTCCTAGTCTGAATTTTAACAAAGCATCTCTTCTGATTTYGCTTGTATTGTTTTTGCCATCAAACAAATTGCATCAGGAAGTGATTTTATTTTTYAGTCATACTGAATTACTGTTTGTCTTTGAAACATTTATGAGCCATGACAAAACAATATATAGCGGTTAGGTTATTGCTTTAAATAGGTCAGCAAGGACAACTTAACGGAATGACTCATAATCACACACACAACTTTTGAATTAGTGTATTTTACAAAACATTTTATTAACTGTAATCTAAAATTCAGAAACAGCATGTTAAGAGCTTTGGAAATTTTAGAGGGTAGTTAAAGAAAGTGTTAAAAGTTCTTTAAAAAAAATGTTTTTCTCAATTTTTTTGATGTTTATTGTGAGCATGATCTGAGAACCGACAGATAACTAAAATATAATTTAACCCCACAGGCAAATTTCCGAAATGAAAGACAAAGTTACTTTGGTGTTTGAGTCCCGCCAAGCATCTCCCTTTGATCACGGCGAGGCTTTATCTGCACCTCATGCTAAAAACAAACCAAGTGTCAAAAGGATTTTTTTTTCCAGCAAAACTCACTAAATAATCTGAGGCTGCCAAAAGCCCCYTCAATGCTACATCTAACCACAATAACCCAAAGGTATTAGCTTGTACCRTCATCTTGTCCAAACAAGTGTTCTTTTACTGGTACATAATGCATTCCAACATGTTTGATATGTACAATAAACACATGTGGACACTAGGGCTGTGTATTGGCAAGAATTTGGCGATACAATACATATCATGACAGAGGGGTCACGATACGATATATCCCGATATACAGTATTTCGATACTGTAAACAAGGTGATATATTGCAATATTTTTGGTCCAAAAATTCTATTAAATAAAAACCTCTTACTGAAAAAAAAAAAACAACAAAAAACCAAAATTCATTGTCTCAGAAAACTCTAATATTACATAGACATACTTTTGATACATTTAGCTGTGTTCTGCTTTGTATGTGTTTTATTTTATTTGTTTCATATTTCATCCATGTTTTCAATTATTAGACTAAATTTGCCAATAAATAGTTTGAAAATATATTTTTGCAGCTTTTCGTTTTTAATATTAATTTACAATATCTTCACCCAACACTTAACAATAGCGTTTATGTTGTCATAAAGTTCAGTAAACAGATGATATGAAGCTGCTGCACACAGAGTTTCTGGGATCAGCTGACCTGCATCCAGAACATGATTTGTATAACTGTGGGTTGAACAGCAGGGCAAGTCCCGAAGAAAACCAGTTAAGAAATTGAGAGTCTAAACGAGTTAAACCGTTTTTGAAGCGAACACAGCAGGATAAAGTACTGTTTATGGACTTTGATGTGATCATCAGCCGGACATTAGTTATGTTTACATGCACAAAATTTTTTAATCGGATTGAAATGTATTCAGATTAAATAATCTGAATGTACTGTTTACATGGACACAATCCGATCATGAAAAGTGTTTACATGCACCGGAGTTTTATTCAGAATAAAAGTCCGGACATGCGTAGTGTTGTGAACTTTCAGCTCTACTTCCGTGTTACAAACAACGTAAACAACGCTCCTCTGTGCGCTCAGGACGGACCCGTGTCAGCTTTTAATAAYGGCAGAGACGCCGTTACTCCTCGGTTGAGCTGCAGCCTGCAGATGAAGCAATACGTGCTTTTTATTTTTATTTTTTGCGAAGCAACGTCTGCTGTTTGTCTCCTTTTTCATCTGTTAAGATAGCATGGAGGAAAAGTTCTGCACGGTGCTGTGCAGCTGGAGCGCTGCTGTCCCACCGGGTGAATGAAAGTCAGCAGACATGTGAACACAGGTCAGTTTTCTACAATCAGAATAAGATGATCTGATTAAGTGTTTACATGATGCATTTTTATTCTGAACGGCTGTTTAATCTGATTACTTTTGTCCATGTAAACATAGCTATTGAGAGCAACAGACAGGGGGGAGTGCCGAGCTCGCTCGAGGTGATAGACGCATGCGCTATATGCGTAACATTAAAGCTGACTACAGTTGGAAAAAAGAGCGCACAAGACACTTAATTTGTCT